AGGTGCTGGGATTCCTCCATTACAGCCTCACTACCACATCATCAAGAGCCAAGCTCGCCCATGGAGAGGAGGGCCCCCTAACCAAAGGCCTAAGTACCAGTCCAAACTCCTACCCCGACAAATAATTATAAGAGGCCCACTAAATGCCAATCATTAGCTAAGTCTGAAGAAAAGTCAAGAAAATTAGATGTCTGGAATCTTTAAACCTGTACAGTGATTTATTTATCACTCAAACATGTAGCTATTACTCTCATCATTTATTGATGAGCTCTTGTGAGCTTTTCATTACTACTACCAAACTACCAATAAGGACCATTAAAGCAACTTTACACATTATGTAAAAAGTAATATCCCAACTGATTTAAATTATTACCTTTATTACATATTAATATCTTTTAGGTTCACACTTTACACTGTTTATTCCTGAGCCAGCTTCACCACTAATGGCTTGAAAACAGGATCTGACTTTGGTAAGGTGCAACTCCATTCATTGCACACATAATGGCTTTCAAAAAGTTTTTAACCCTCCCAGATTTTAGGTTATGAGAGGAACAGTTTGATACGTTTCTTCATAGGCAAATTCATTTTTGTTGTTAATTTGTAATATGTAATACACTGTCTTTACACTTGGAAACTACAGAAAGGAAAATCAGAAGGTATGAAATGTAATGTGTGGAAGAGTTGTCTGGTTCTAGGAATGTGAAAGAGGCAGGATAGAACAAGTGCCGGGGACAAGCTATGTGTTGTTAGTGTTTATGAGGTCTTGTGTCTGAGCACACATTTAGATGCTGCTGCTTTTCTTAGATGTTTAATGAGGTTATTGCAGCAGGTTTTTAGATGACTGCTCCCTTTGGCTATCTTAAAGTTACCAAGTGCAGAACAGGTAGCCTCTCTGATACCTAAACACTTAAGGAATTCTTTTCTTTTTCTTTCTTTCTTTTTTTTTTTTTTTTCAGGGACGAGCAGAGCAAGTCTGTCCTTGAATGTCTGCTTGAATTCCTGCATTTCCAGTTCACTCCACAATCACATTAGCTAACTCTGACTCTGTTAGGTGTACAAATGTGGTTTCATTTTAACTATGTTTTCCATTTTGGTGGGTGATCTAACTGTTAGACATGCATATGTAATCCTGTTTTACAGAAATTTCTTTTGCAAATTCTTTATGATTTTCCCCTGGTAACGAAATCTAACTGTGTGGTAATTAAAACATTCATGACCAGTGCCTTTGGATTTATACTCAGCAATCCCTTCATTCCCTCATACAAAATGCTTATTATACAACAAGTCATGAACCGCTCTTCTGATCTTTAGTGTGTGGCATAATCATTATGACCTAAATCCACAGTGTGGGTGTCACAAGGCAGAATTGTTTGGGTGTCTTAACAGATGTATAAGAAAGACTAGGACATTTGGACTAGGAAAAATCCAGATAATCTCCATGATAAGGATTTCTGGAAGTTAAGCTGGGAAGAATGAATGAGACTTCCAGAAATGAACATGAGAGGCAGAAACTCCTAGCTATTTGATCTTACCCCTCAAGCAGAGTAAAGGAAGAGGACTCTACCATGTTGGATGCTTCACAATTGTGTTTTATCTACATAGCCATCTTACAACCTCTAGACATGTTTGCTGGGCAATTTTACTGATATTCTAATCTGTAGTCATGATTTGTTCCAAACACATAGATAACTAATGGCCTGGCCAGAGGCCAAGAATGTGGTGAGGCAGAAGAGTTTAACGTTAATCAGACTACTCTGTGGTGATCAACAAACACAACTGCTAGCTGAGAGCTATTCTTATATGAGGTTAACATAGTTTCCAGAGCTCATGAGTTAAGTCTAAGTGTTTATTTATAGAAGATCTTTTTTTGTTCTAGGTAATAGTCAAGGCTGAAATTTGTTAGTAGACAAGATACATTTTGACTCTGCTATCCTGAGGCTGTTCTTGTACTAGAACAAGAGAGACTCTGAAAAGTAAACACTGATTTCCAAGATAACCTACAAGGCAAGCAGCCAAAAGCAAGAAGAACAGTTGTTGTTTTAAGATACCCAAATGCAGGCTCTAACCTGGTGGCTCACCTACCTAATTTTCCCCTGGCAAGTGCAGGAATTCCATGTTGGGTGCCGATTCATGTCTTGGCTGCTCCACTTCCAATCCAGCTCTCTGCTTATGGCTTGAGATAGCAGTGGAGGATGGCCCATAGCCTTGAGACCTGCACCCGTGTGGGAGACCTGGAGCAAGCTCCTGGCTCCTGGCTTCAGATTGGCTCAGCTCCAGTCATTCCGACCATTTGGGGAGTGATCCAGCGGATAAAAGAGGTTTCTCTCATTCTTTCTTTCTCTCTGTAGATCTGTCTTGCTAATAAAAATAAATGAATCTTCTTGAAAAAAGAAAAAAGACAAGCAATGGAAAGCACACTCTGCATCCAACAACTTTTGAGAAAGATTTGAATGGCAGGAAGATACATGGTGAGAAACCAACAGGCAGAAACCCTTTGAGACATAAATTGATGGCTGGAAGAGGAATAGAGGTAAGCCCGACCACAGGAGCCATAGAAGTCAATCGGCATATAACTTTTCACAATTATGAAATAAGAAGTTACAAACAGTTGCGCACAGGTGTCGGTGTTGACATATGTTGTCAGCTTGCTTGGGTAAACACCAAGGAACCCTAGTGATGGGTTGCATGCTAAGACGATGTGTAACTTCATAAGCATGTGCCACACTGACGTACACCATTTTGCATTCCATCAGTGAGAAATGAGTGTTTCTGCACATCTTCACTAGCTTTTTGGATAACTTTCTCATAGATTTGTAGCAGTAACTCACTTAAAGTTGTTCTCTGTAATGACATGTGAGATTTAGCTTGTTTTCACACACATCATTGCCATTTGAACATCTCCTTAAAGAATTTTTGCTGATTTCCCCCTGACACACACCGATTTTCAAATTGGGTTTCTCTTTCTATTATTGAATTCTAATAGCCTTTTTTTTTTTTTCCAAATTTGGGAATATGTCTTCTATGGGGTATGTTTTGCAAAAATATCTCCTCGTAGTCTGGTGGCTTGTCTTCTATTAATGATCCTTTGCACAACAAATATGGATTTAATGAAGTGTAACTTATCAATTTTTCTTCCATGAATTTTTTTTCAAGTGTTACTTCCGTCTTTGCCCATCTAAAAGTCTCCAAGGTGGCTTTTTTTTTTTCCATTATGTTCTCATTTGTTTTATAGTTCTGTTCTTTTTTAAATTTTAGGTGTTTGTTGTATCACACCTTGGTTTTTAGTGAAGAGTTTACAGTCAATGTCTGCATTCTTGTTGTTTGCCCTGCATATGTCATTGTTAGAGCACCATTTATTGCAAATGATATCCATTTTCCATTGGATTTTTGTTCCTTTGTCAAATATCGGTTTACTATACTTATATGGATCCACTTCTGGACTGTGTTCTACCCATTTATTCATTTGACAATGCCATGACGCCTTGAACACTGTAGTACCACAGTTACGTCTTGAAGTAGGGTACTGTCCATTTACCTACTTTATTCTTCAATATTGTGTTGGCTATTTTCTTGATTCAGTATGAAAAGTTTACAATCTGTTGATACATACAAAATAACTTGTATGAATTTTGATGGGATTTGCACTAAATCTATAGAACAAGTTGATAAAAACTGGTGTTTCTTACACTTCAAAAGAGGCAGAGTTGGAGAAAGGACTCTGATTTGCCTGAACAGGAAAATACTTTATTCCATAAGTGATCACAACCAGGTCAGGTGTATGCCAAAGGCGGGAAATTTGAACTCACTACCAGAATTTGGCCAGGTCAATATCAGGAGTCAGATGTCCCATCTGGATTTTGGGGGTTCGTAAATACTTGGACCATCCTCCACTCACTTTTCAGGTTTATTACAGCTGGGACTCAAACTAGCATTTGGATATGGGGTGTGGGCATCTATCATACCACAAGACTGATCCTGTGCAATTTTTTTTCATTATTAAACACCTACTTTTTTTTTTCCTAATTGTTCATGGGTCACTTTTGAAAATCTCAAACTAGTCTATTTCTCCAAATAACTTTTCATAGTTTCCATTAAATCATTCTACAATCACACACTTGCATAGTTTTAAAATTCTTGTAAGATTTGTTTTGTTTAAAACTTTTGTTTAAAACCGAATGGCCTCAGTGGTGGGGTTGAGGCAGGGAGGGAGTCAGGAGAAAAAAATTCCCTGCATGTGTACCCAAGCACTCGGGCAGTCTTTTGCTGCTTTCCCAGGAGCATCAGCTGGGAGCTGGATCAGAAGTGGAGCAGCAGGGATTCAAACCTGTGCCCTGCTATGGTATGCCAGAGTCACAGAAGTGTGCACCGCTGGCCCCAGTTCTACATTTTAACATGTGAAGTGTTTAACCAAAAAATGCATACAATTCATACAAAAACATGAGATGTTATCAGATTGGAAGGCATCATCTACCTTCTCGCAGTACAAGATTTTCTAATTCGGAAAACAGTCAACTTTTTGACCCTATTGTAATTTTTTTGTTTTTTTTTTTGCTTTGCTTTAGCTGAGGAAATTTATTACTATTTTATCAAGTATTTGTTTATTTTAAAAGTTTATTTATTTTTATTGCAAAGTCAGGTATGCAGAGAAGAGAGACAGAGAAGAAAAACTGACAGTTCACTTCCCAAGTGAGCACAAAGGCTGGTGCTGCGCAGATCCGAAGCCAGGAACCAGGAATTTCCTCCAGGTCTCCCACGCGGGTGCAGGGTCCCAAGGCTTTGGGCCGTCCTCAACTGCTTTCCCAGGCCACAAGCAGGGAGCTGGATGGGAAGCAGAGCTGCCGGGACTAGAACAGGCGCCCATATGGGATCCTAGTGCGTGCAAGGCAAGGACTTTAGCAGCTAGGCCACGCTGCCGGGCCCCAAGTATTTATTTTTATGAAGTTTCTCTCTTAACAATCAGAATGTAAATTTATGGTGATGAAGTGAATAATCCTGAATGTTAAGAGGCCGAGTCCAGTAAATTTTTGTGCATCATCCTTGCACAGGGGCCATACTAATCTTCTCTGTATTGTTCCAATTTTAGTCTAAAATGCTGCTGGAGCGAGCACCAGTTTTTTTTTTTTTTTTTTTTTTTTTAATAGTAACAAGTGTACTGACAATGTTCGGGATGCCGCAGGGACAAGGAGTCAGAGGCCAAACACTAACCAATTTCCCTTCAAAACAGAACGTGGGGATGGTCACCTAGTTCCTAAAACTCCCTTAAAAGGAGAAATAAGCTGCCCTAAGATATTAAGTCCAAGATCTCTCTGGCTCGCTCTCTCTCTCACACACACACACATTGGCACTGACCCTCATACTGCTTCCTGTTCCTTCCCTGTCATCGTGGACTCTAGCAAGTTCTTCCTGGCCCTACTTCTTCCGTATGGTCAAACTGGTGGCCCTGTAAAAACGGTTCTTTTTAGATACCGCCTTATTCCCACGAATGGGAATCTAGTTGCAGGCGGAACTCGGGTTTCTCCAGGGCCTCGGAGCCAGCAGGTGGCCTACGCTCAAGGCCCAAGGACAGGGGTTGGACCCTCGGGTTTCCTCAGGATTCGCTTCCCAAACTCAGCTCCCCCAGCACAAAAAGCCCACCGTCATGGGAACCTTCAGGGCTCCGCAGGGGTCGGGAGGACTCGGGTGGGAGTTCTCACGGAGCTGACGGGGTGGTTCCCCAGCATTCCCCCGCCCCCTCACAACCACCGTCAGAGACCCCACACCCCATCGACCGGCCCCATTGTGCCGAAAGAACTGGAAACCCAGCCGCGGCGCCCTGACGCAGGCCGAGGCCCCGCCCCGGCGTGACGCCAGCGTCAGCCCAGTCCCGGCGTCCTGTGCGGCCGCCCGCGGTCGAGCCCCGGCGAGAGGAATTTTCCCCCGTGAGCGGCTCCGGTTCAGTTGAAGCTGCTTGCTGTCCAGAGCCAGGTCGGCGACGCTGCCGCCTGCATCCGTTCGCTCTTCACCCCTTCGCTCGCCCGTCCCGCCCCGCCGAGTGCCCCCCAGCCCTCCCGCGAGGGCGCCCCGGGACGGAAGGACCCAGCAGCCTGTCGGCGCCCGCCGTTCTCGTGGTCGCCGTCGCCGTCGTCGTCGTGGTCGTCTCCGCCGTCGCCTGGGCCATGGCCAATTACATCCACGTCCCCCCCGGCTCCCCGGAGGTGCCCAAGCTGAACGTCACGGTGGCGGACCAGGAGGAGCAGCGCTGCCGGGAAGGGGCCCTGAGCCTCCTGCAGCACCTGCGGCCGCACTGGGACCCCCAGGAGGTGACCCTGCAGGTAACGCCCACACCGCGGCCCGACGCCCCTCGGGCCTCTCGGCCGCGGCCTCGGCGTCCCCCCGCTGCCCAAGTGCCCGGGATCCCCCCACTCCCCCCTCAGCCTCTTGGGAAGTGACCCCGAATTTCGTGCAACGGCCCCGGGAAGGTCACTCCCCCTTGGCCTCGCAGTTGCCTTGGGAGATCGTCTCCGGGTGGGGGCGGGGAGGGGCACTTTCTCTCTCTCTCTCTCTTTCTTTCTGGAAGCGGCTGCGTGGGTGACGCACCCCTTGCCTCACGGGCAAGATTCCTGTTGATAGTCGCCCCTCCTCCCACGGCTAGTCGGTACAAAACTGCAAAATCCACCCCTTGCGGCTGCCCTTGCACGGGCCTTCCATAAATAATGCAGTAATTAATCCTCTCTGAGCTTTCCCTTTCTCCTCCCTCCCCTCCGGCGTCAGTCCCATTGATGCCTCGCCCTGCGATGTGGGTTCCCTCCCCCCCCCCCCCCCCCATGTTGCGACTGGAGAAGTGTACTTGAATCTAGAGGACTGACCATGACCGTGCGTTGCTGACCACGGCCATGCCTTGCTAGATGCAGTTCCTCAGGGAACGCTTGACTCCATTCTTCGGAACTGTTCAAGCTTTCTCTTCTGGCCAATGAGTATCTGGTGTCACACGTATCTGAGGCTTGGGAATATTTCCTTTTCCTGAACCGCTGTGTATTTTAGATAGACCCCAAAAAGCGGGGAGGGAATGAAGGGAAAAAAAAGCCTTAAGAATGCAATAATTGAGTGTCTTTGGAGTGTTAAAATATTACGTACAGGGTATAGTTTTAGGAACGACTTACAAAAATGAGTTTCCTTTTTCCTTTGAGAAGAACAATCAAAGTTAGAGATTTTAGAGTCTGGGGTATTTGGGGGTTCTGTTTGTGACAATGAGCAGTCGTGAACGGACCTTCGTCTGCATTAGCCAAGTGATCAGCCTCGCTGTGATGGGTGAAGCACTCCACCACGTTTCTGGATTGAAGTCTTGGCTGAACTAGCAGGCTGCCTCTACGGAGATGAATAAAACATCAGAGTGCCCGAGGCCTAGAGCTTTCAGGAGTGTGACTTTCGGTTTCCTGCCGCCCAGAGATTTCCAAGCTGATAAAAAGGAAGCGTACGTGTTGAGAGCGGAAAAAAATTAGAAATGTAAAGGAAGTGTTTGTTAGCCTGGTATGTAGAAAAGAGTGAATCCAAAATGGTTCGCCGCGCAAGGAAGGAAACCTAACCCCCTCTAGTTGAGGAAATGCCTTTCAGATTGAAACTTCTTACTTTTTTAGTTTATTATTTATTAACTTATTTGTATGGAAGGTCCTAAAGCGATTTCGTTTCTTTCAGTCGGTTGTAAATTAGATATATCTGATTAATTACAGGCAGTGCTACTTCCTGGTACGCTCAACTGCTGGCAAATCATGTTACTTTCTAGGCCATGACTTTAAAACTTGAACTTTGAAATTTGCTTTGATGTGTTTGTCTGGAATGGCTGGAATGGCTCCCATAGGGCACTGTGGGGTTGGCGGTGCGGATTATAATCTTCCTGGATTTTTAAAATCATGTCGTTGCCCAAACAGTCATATTAGGTAGGTACTAGCTTTTTTAGTTGAGACTCAGTGAAGTAAAGCCAGGGTAAAGATAAAAATGGACAAAATACAGCACCATCAGACTGGTGATTGGAAAGTACCTACTTGTACCTGAATCTTGGCATCTGCGTGGCAACGTTAAAGACTCAGTGTGTGATATGAGTCAGGTAAACGCTCCCACTGACTTGGCCCCAAGTGTGATTAGCTGGAAATGCATCTCCTCCCCTTGCAAGTAAAGCTTTTGGAACAATCTGGCTGAACTGATGGTTTATTCAGCTCTCAACTCAATAGCTCTCTTGCTAACTTATTTCAAGATCTAACTTTTGGAGCTGTCTGCATTTCCTTGGGTAGTTAATTGTGTGTAGGGGGACTACGTTTTGGTTCAACAGAATAATTTTCAAGGACCTCTGAGAATTGCTTTGCATTCTGAAAAAAGCTAATGAATTAGTGGCTTAGATAGTCCAGTATATTCTCTTAGGGTTTTTGCACAAAGATGAATAATCTTGTTTTGTGATTAATTTGTCACTCTGCACATTTTCCCATAACTTGAGACCTATTGTAAGGTGATGTCAAAGTCTTACTACTTCAGATAATAAGACCCTAGTTAGTCCTGGATAGAATAGATCTAGCATACCTACGGTTTTCCTAGGGTCTCAGTAAGATTGTTTGCTCTGTGGGATCTTAGCTGAATTGAGTTTTACAATAACACTCTTATTATTTTGGTCAAGAATGTGAGGTTTGGCTTTGAGTCCAAGTCCCGTATTTCGCTTGCCCTGTTCTCCTGGTCAAGTTACTTGGCCTTCTCAGGCCTCTGTGTTTTCAGCTGTAAAATGAATCCAGTGATAGTCCTACTTCAAAGAGTTGTTATGAGGGGGAAAAATGCTATTCTGGTGGTTATTGCTGCCGAGCATCCATTACATGTGGATGCCTGAATCAAAGAACAAACGCCTTCTCTTTGAAATTCCTAGTCTGATGGGGAAAACAAATAAGAAAAGAATTGCGGGTCAAGCTCCTCTCATTGCCTGGTTCTGGACTGCTGTAGTACTGAACACACAGATGCTGAGACATGACGTAGTATTTGCTTATAAGTTAAACACATTCTCCCTTGTTCTTTAAACCATTGCTGGGCTACTTAAAATACACAGTAAAGTGTAAATACGTGTAAATTGTTTTTACACTGTATTGTTATAGGGCATGACAAAAAATAATAGTAATGTTTTTAGTACAAGTGTACTTTAGGGAAATTTTTTAGGTTGAATCCAGAGATAGAAGGCTGCCCACAGAATGTTTTTGGAATGAACATTTAAATGTTTGTATCCAAAGATTATATAAGAACACTTAGACACATGTTGTTCTTTCTGTTGTACTACAACTTTTTGCATGTGTTTGTATAGCATTTTTTGAAGTCTTCAATTTTGAGCTTAACATCTGAATACACTATCTTACAAACTGATCTTTGTGTTAGTTGTGTAGCTACATGACAGTTTTCATATCTCCTTACTCTTTTTTTCTATTGGATATAAATACTTAAATATTCTATTAGAAATCAATAACCTGGGCCCTGTGCGATAGTGTAGTGGTTAAAGTCCTTGCCTTGCATGCCCAGAATCTCATATGGTTGACGGTTCTAGTTCTGGTGGCCCTGCTTCCCATTCAGTTCTCTGCTTGGGGCCTGGGAAAGGAGTTGAGGACGGCCCAAAGTCTTGGGACCCTGCACCCAGGTGGGAGACCCAGAAGTTCCTGGCTCTTCGCTTCGGATTGGCTCAGCTCCAGCTGTTGCGCTCACTTGGGGAGTGAACTATCAGACAGAAGATCTTCCTCTCTGTCTCTCCTCCTCTCTGTATATCCACCTTTCAATAAAAATAAATATATATTTTTAAAAAAAAGGAAAGCAATAACCCCTTTTATTATTGATGTTTAACATTTAATATAGTTCTTTGATTTGAATGAAGAGAATGATCTGTTCAGTTGCTTTGTTCACCTCCAGTGTTCTAATTTAATAATTGATATTCTTCTTTGTTTGAATTTTTTTTTTAATTTTTCAGCTTCTTGAAAGGCAGAGTGGCAGGGAGGAGTAGAGACAAAGAGATTTTCATCTGCTGATTTATTCCCTATATGTCTAAGGCAGCCAGAGCTGGTCCAGGCTGGAGCCGGGAGCCTGCAGCTCCATCTGGCTCTCCAACAGGGCTGATACTTGAGCTGTCTTCTGCTGTCATCCCGGTTACATTAGCATGAAGCTGGATGGGAAGCTGAGTGGCTGGAACTCAAACTGTCACTCTGTTAACGAGCTGTGATTGTAAGAAATAAATTGAAGCTTAACCTCTTGGGCCACAGCACCTGCCCCTCTTTTCTGTTTTCGGAGAGATGAGTTTGTTCCTTACTGTAAGGAAAAGCTTCTGAAAATCTCAGATAAATTAATGTGGTAAATTGCCAGAAGTGTAGGGAATTGATAGAAATTTTAGAACATATAAAAGATCACAGTTTATTTTGAGTATGATTTTTGATCAATGAATTAGGTTCAGCTTCCATCTGTTCTCCCAATGGATTGTTTGGTGCAGCAGTTAAGATGTGGCTTGGGGTGTGGGTGTTGTGTGTAACTGGCTACGCTGCTTCCTGTGAGTCTGGCTGCTCCTCTTCTGATTCAGCTTCCTGCTAGTGTACCTGGGAAGGTGGAGGTGGCCCCTGCGTCCGTGGGGGAGACCTGCAGGAAGCTCCTGGCCCCTGACTCTTGGCTTTGGCTAGCCAGCCCCTGCCATTGAGAAAGTGAATGTGAAAGTCTTTTTTTTTTTTTTTTGAAAGAGTAAGAGAAGGAGGGAGACACCAAACATCCGCAGTGGCCAGGGCTGGATCAGGCTGAGGCCAGAGCCCAGGTGCTTCTCCATGGGCCTCCCACCTGGGTGCCGGGGGCCAGGCACTTGGGGCAGTGTTCCACTTCTGGGCTAGGCACATTAGCAGAAACTGGGTTGGAAGTACAGCCGCTGAAATCCGAACTGGTGCCCGGTGTCCATATGGGATGCTGGCATAAAAGGCCATGACCCACTGCATTTCCTGTTTAAAACCTTTTGATTACAGATAAGGGGAAGATTAAGGTTTGGTTATTTGTTTTGGTGATTTTCATTTATTTATTTATTTTTTGGTGAATGACAAAGATAGGGATACAGTAGAACATCTGCTATACTTAAGGGATCAGAGTATTTCTTGATTTTTAAGTTTGAAAAACTTTTTTATTCTCTGATATGCCAGATTGGCTGCCAATAAATTTTAACATCCTTTTAAAAATTGTAGTTTATAGCAAACACACAGAAAAATACTTGAAACAAATTGTGAAATAAATACCTGCGTAATTCTTAATAGGGGAAGGAAAGAAATTTCTAGCAACGCTGAGTATCTCCATATCC